TGCTAAAGACAAAAGCAGAATAATCCATTTCAACAGCTGTAAGAATAACAGGACAAATCAACACATCAGCTGTTATTCCACTCATCTCACTATATTCCCTTCCTAAGCATTCATTGCTGTTTTAAAGTTTTGACTAAATGAAAATTACTGCCATTGCATAGGGAAAAAAAGGTAATAATGCCCTTTATCTGCTTATAAATTGAATATTGTATAATCCTCATATGCAAAAATCATAAATTATAAAAATCAGTAGGAATGTTGCAATTTAGATGCCCATCATGCGAAAATTTCTAAATGCAAAGTACCTCTCCAAAATGGTAAGTCTGGTTTAAACTGTGAAATTAGAAAGTCATCCTACTTTATTTTCTGCAAATACTTCCACTTATTTTAAATAAAAATAGAACAAGAATTTAAAATTTCAGATGAACTGTATCTGAATCTCATCTATCTTTGACAAAAACTAAGAAGAGAAAAAACCCTGTTTTACACCAACACCCATAAAGTTTGCAAAGCTAATAGGCACTATAGGATATTTTCCTATCGCGATATCACCCCAGGGTCGTGACAGGAAGCGGGGTGAACAAGCAGAGTGGCAGGAGGAGGATTCCTGGAAGACATTCCTGTCCTAGAGCAGCCACCAGTCACTTAACAATGCACTGAAGTGACCTAAATAAATATCTCACTATACCGAAATTAAATGTAACCGATTGAACTTCCCCTTAACAGGATCTCAAAAAAGCTGTAGCCTCTCCAGTACCACCACCCTGTTCAAGAGGAAATGGGCAGAGGAAGTCTGAATGGAAAGAAACTGATTGCAGTTTAAATATCTTATAAAATTTGAACAAAAACATGTGACCATATAAACAATTGCTAGAGCCCCTACCTATACCTTGACAGTGTCCAGAACCGGTTAGGGGGCCCATGGAGCTTAAACAACAGCAGAACAGTTCATCTTGGTAGAAAAATAGGCTTCTAATCTTTTTTCAGGTCAAGAAGGTGAACAACAGTTTTATGCAAATAATGTGGATTTGCACTTCCCTTTTATGGAGCAACTTGGGCTTTATTCTTATATGACATTTTACCCTGGTGGCATCATCTACTCTTCCCTCCCAAAGTTAATATAGACAGGCTTTCCTAAAAATTATGTGTGTTGCTGTTACATTTTTCATTTGCTATGTGCTTTTACTTCTTCCTGAAACTCTCTGATATAGGCATTGAATCACATTCCACTCTTATAATACAATTTTGCCCTGTATTTGTTCTTGAAACTCCTGCGTAGCCCAAACAATGTATCTTTGTGTTCCCCTCAGAACAGAATCATGATATAAAATTGTACAAATCAAGAAACTTTTTAAAGCATTTTGAGAGTTTATTATATTCTAGGCCCTGTGTTAATTATTTAATAGAATATATCTCATTTAATCCTTACAACATCGCATGAGATATTCTTATTATTTCATAAGCACGGATGAGAAAACAAAGTCACAGAAAACAAAACAAAACAAAACAAAACAAAAAAAGAAAACAAAACAAAACAGAACTTGCCCTGAGATCCACAGCCAGCAGTGATAAAGCTAAGTTTCAATGCTGGCTCTTTGAGAACAATAAATACAAAGCTAGGCCATATCAGAGTACAGCTTAAACGCAATGTGTCACACGTGTCCCTAGTATGTGCAGGGAGCAAGAAAAGGAAATACTTCTGCCTCTGAAATTTTTGCTAGAGACTACATTAAGGTATATTAAAATTTCCATGAGATATAATAAATTCCATTTGTTGATTTTTTGATGTCTTATATGGCCAGACACAAACCAGAAATTTGACAATTACTACGTGCTTTATACATGCCAGGCTAAGCACTTTTTATGTATTAACTTATTTATTAATTCCTTGTTAAAAATTAAAAGTCACTATTAATACATTCTGTTTTACAAATTAGAGACTTGAGGCACAGAATGATTAATTCAGTTGCCTAAGGTCACACAGCAAGTAAGAGGTTGAAGAAGACTTTAAATCCAGGCAATGAGCCTTCAGAATGTACCCTCTTAGTTATGACATGCTTTTTGAGAATGACATAACAATGATACATTTGAGCTGGCTTGAACTATATTCAGACATAACCATATACTAAATTACGGCTAGCAAATATAGTAAAATAATAGAAGATTTGTCTAAAAAAAAAAAATCTGAAAACAAAGATTAGGAAGCTTTGAATCTTGGCTGAGAAACATACCACCTTTGTCTTTTTATATATAATCAAATATCAGCTACAATTATCTCTAACTGTAAATATACTCTGTTCTTTAATGCACTATGAGAGAAAGCATATTAATTTGGATTAATTCATTTCTCCGTTGATATAATGTAATGAAAGCATTAAATATGACCTGTTTCCTTGCAACCACACTTAAAATTGTGCAGTGCACTTATAATGATAGTAAAAATAATCTATAGTAATAGATCATTATAGTAATAAAACAACAGTTTAAACAATGCTCTTTTTCCAAATTAAAGTATTTTCTTTATTGGAATATTACTCTTATTACCAATATAGCTGTCTTTGTTTTTCTTGTTTGCCATCCCCACTTATTGGATTCATCTTCAGCCCTTTTCTCTTCTGCTCTGTGCCCTAAGAGGCTCTGAGACACCTCGGAGAACTATGTCATTACCCAGACTTTATTGCCCTCTGACATTTGCTGCATTTGACCAATGGAGAGAACCGAGAAAACAGAGCATGGGAAGAGAGAGAAGTTTGAGTATTTCTTTCTCCTTCTTTTTCCCTTCCAAGCTGTGGTTTGTCTACCTGAGGCCAGAGCTCTGTTAGACAACCCCTCCCAGCACTCTCTCAAATCCAGTAGCTCTGCTCTGTCCTCTCTTCAGGTGTAGCCATGATAACAATTTCCCACTATTGGTCCCTGGTGCCTCACCATCCCTTGTGAATTAGTTTCTTCAATCTTCTTGCCAACAACTCAAATACGACACCTTCATCAGACTCTTAACAATTAAACACTGTGAGCACATTGTCTATTGTCTATGTCCACAAGATCCTGAAGGATAGCATAGGCCAGATGATTCAGGAAATGAAGTTGAAATATGAACAATGATGGAAACAGGAGAACTTTAATTACATACCAGTAAAGCAGCACAAATCGGGCCATGGATAATGTAGAGGAGATGAGTATCAGAACGGATCCAGCAGCTAGGAGGAAAAACAGAAATTATGTCGAAGATTTTTGTTTTACTTAGTTCCAATAGAAATCAGAAAGAGATATTATCTTACTTGTCATCGTAATATAAGCTTCTGGCTACGGCATGTATACAAGCAGGAATCAGTGGAAATCCTGCAAATATCAAAGAAAAAGAAAATGAATAGGCAAGTTTCTCTATATATGAAACTCCTAAAATATGTCATGAAATGTGAACCTCAGAGATAGATACTCTACAAGCAAAAATAACTCGTCACTATGTTTATTGAGTAAATATTATCCATATAGTCAAGCACTAACTATGATAAATTGTTAGCTTATTTATATTTTCAGGTGTGTGTGTGTGTGTGTGTGTGTGTGTGTGTACATTTTCTTCTAATATGAGCCATTTTGAATCAGTGTACTCCAGAGTCTTAAGTCCATAAATGTGTGTGCTGCCTAAGCCCCAAGGCTTAGAAAAAATCTAGTATTCATATATTTTCTGCAAGAATTGGCCAGTATTTGGTAAATTGTTAGCTTATTTATATTTTCAGGTTTGTGTGTGTGTGTGTGTGTGTGCGTGTGTACATTTTCTTCTAATATGAGCCATTTTGAATCAGTGTACTCCAGAGTCTTAAGTCCATAAATGTGCTGCCTAAGCCCCAAGGCTTAGAAAAAATCTAGTATTCATATATTTTCTGCAAGATGTAATTGGCCAGTATTTGGTAGATGATTACATATGGGAAAAAGTTGAGACTGACTATGTAAAGAAAGAGAGAAGGAAGATAGAGATGTTTTATGTATCAGAAATTTTACACGTTTTGAGCATTCTAAATCAGATCTTTCAAACATGAAGAAATATTTTATAAAGGTAACCTGAATGCACTAATGATTATGCATGTATACATAATTGTATATATTTATATTATCTGACTAGATAGATAGACATACAAAGTATAATTTCAGTCATGTTTCTGGAAACTGGTCCTACTAAATTTATTTTCAGCATTTTATATTTTGCATTATTCCCTTTTTTTTTTTTTAAATGCTAGATGTGTATACTGTTTGCTTTGTGAATAATACCATGTCAGACAATTTTGTTTGGAAAAATAAATCTTTTGCCTGTTCTTATTTAATACTGATCCCTCTACTCTTAGATAAGATGATGAGTTTTTTTTTTAAAGAAACATTCTTAAAATAGAACTTCAAAGCTGGTTAAATCTAATGCCCTTATTTTGCACATGAGGAAAAAGAAAACTCTGAATAATCCAAAAACTAGATCCCTAATTCATGACTCTAGTTGTATTCTTTTAGTTACTATGCATTTAGCTGAATACACGTTGGATTATGAAATAGAAAAAGAACATTGTCTTAATAATTGACCCGTGACTATTGAAAGCAACTAATTAGTGATATTTTATTTAAATATTTCAATTTATAGCAATAAGCAAAGGTTAATCACCTGAAATTGTTTTAAAATGATTAACAATAAATGAATTTTTATTACAAAGGAACACTGCATCCTCTGAAAGCTTTCTTAACAAGATGAATCAGCAGTTATGTGTAATGGCACTTACCCCAGCCAAGAAAATAATACCACATTAAGTGTTGCTTCTCCACAAACACAGCCACCACGATGAGTGTGTGTAGGTAGACACCTTCACAAAGCATCCAAAAGTAGTTACAACCCATCAGGTAAAGATGAATGAACTGGAATATTTTACAACTAACCTGTGAGGAAAAATCAATCAATATTTAGTTTTTTATGAATTCACATGTAAAGCAACATCTAGTTTAGCTCAGTTATATAGAAACATGGAATTTTCTCTCCTCAACACAAAATCTTACACACTAATGTTTCAGATTTGTAAAATGCCAGCCTTCATTCTCCTCTAGAGGTGCCCCTAAAGTTTTTAGCCATTGACTCCAAAGATTTATAATGGTATACATCCAAGAAAATGTGTATAGTCTAAATTTACTACATTTAGTAGATGTGTATTTTTCTAGTGTGTTTTAGTTATTATGTAATTTTAAGTACAAAAGTTTCACACATGAATGACTTTACATCTACTTACATTTATTTTAATTATGTCATCATGAACTCCTTGATTATTTCATTCTGTTGAAAAAATCTTAATTATCTTAATTATAAAGCAATTCATTAAATGTGCCAAATACTTAGAAAATCTAACATTTCATGTGTGACCAGTGTAAATACTTATTAAATAATAATCTAATGAGCCCAAACTTTATCTTTTCCACATATGGAATTTGAAGGTTTCATGTAGGTAAAAAAAAGAAAAAGTTATGATTTTCCTTCCTCCTTTCCTGAGATCTCCGCTTTCTCTTCTCTACTCTTAAAGAGACAGGAAGAAGGAGGTTCAAATATAGGGTAAAGAAAACACAAAGAAGTAAGAGATATAGCTTACTTTCTTAATAAGGGAAATAAATTAAAAACTCTCCCAAAAACATGGTCAATTATTTTCATTAGCTCCAATTTTCAATCTGGAACCCAATAAATATTTAGTGGCAATTATCATCATTTTTGAAATAAATGTTTTTTTCACTAAAAAGAAAATTGGAATTGAAATACACTGGAAAACAAATATTGGGTTATCATAAAATAATAATAAATTTGCATATGAGTTAGCCTAAAAATATTTTAATATATGTTATTTTATTTTACCCTTAAAATTCTGTGAGGCATGAATTTTTACTAGTCACGTATTTCATAGATAAAAACTGAACTAAAGAAGTTAAATAATTTGCTAATTTTTATACATGAATCATTTACATCCTGAACACAAGTCCTGTAATTCCAATTTTGTTTTTATGATGATACACAATTCCTTATAACTGAAGAACATTTATAAAACCTATTTTTTTCATTAACTATATTTTCAGATTGCATGACATTTAAATTTTAAATAACATGCCTTGATGTCAAACATAACATATTAGCAAAGTCCTCTCAATGATTAAAATGAATTATTTCACTATACTATATAGAAATGACTTCAGCTTTAAATTTTTATCTATATAATTTTTATGTATTCACACTTAATTTGGCTTTTAGTTCTTAATTATATTTAAAAAATTAATCTTATGATGAAAATCAGTTAAAGTAAGTTTCAGAAAAGTATCTTTATGGCAGGCATTGATGAGAAAAACAGACAAATTTTCCAAGATTATTATTAAATTTTCCACTAAATTAAAACTAATTATATACAGTTTTGCAATTTTTGTGTTAAACACAATATCCTTGGACATAAATGTAAGATTTAAAATCTCTTGTTCTGCAGCTTTATGAGAGGACGCTGACTCTCCTTGATCTAGAGAAATTCACTAAAATGGCAGGACATTGGCCAATTTTTTGTAAATAGTTAATTATACCCCAGTGTGTTTCCTCACCCAATGACTTTAGAGTGGAACATATACAAAATTAAGCAATCTGGATGCACATGTGCAAACAATGAAGGGAATTTTAGAATTTTGGAAATTACCCTAAAACACACACATAAAACCCATATGAGAGTATTGTTTGTTGATCCATTGAGTGAAAATTCCTTCCCTTCCTTGATTTCAGTAACTGGATAACTTAATCTCTAAAAAAACACTTTATTTATGCACATATATACACTTCTCCATAAGTCCATATACAAAACTGTAGTATCGATGTCACAAACATTATGAAAGCAGATGATTTAAACAACTTGAATTTACGTTTGTTATTTATGCAGGTATTTTAATTAAAATATAGCTTACATATGCTTATAGCTTGCATAAAACATATATGTTTGTATAAGTAGATTTTCGCTTATGTTTTGAAAATATAGCTTTATGTTATGACAATCTCTGTGCTTATTATTATGTACCTTTCATCCTAAAAATTGTGCTTCCAAAAGGATTGTAAGGGAACAATTTATAAATGTTTCCCGAGACATGAGGACTTGGTAGAGCACTTAAAAAAATTTTATGTTAATAAAACTGAACACTATATAAGAGACGTATAATTCATTTTTCTCTGGTTTTATTAACTTTTTAAAGTCAGCCTGGTAACAAAAATATAACATAATTTTCCATTTTCATGTACTCTTGTTTTTCTTTATTCTGTTTCTTTTTACTAACTAGTTAGTTGATTGATTTTTTTTAATTTGACTGAGTAAATGTTATGTAGTCATAGATTCTTATATTCTACCAGCAGAAAGACTCTATTCATGAAATGAGGTGAAGATGTGTAATATATAAATAATTGAGGCAAGAAAACAAAGTATTCCTCCTTTTAATACTCAATCATAATAACTTGAGGAATGTCGAGATATATTTACCTTTCTAGATTATAGTATATGTATAGCAGTATATACTCTCTATATGTCAGAACTTAAAATATACATATATGAGTACTTAATTACACACAGTAAATATATCAGGACCCCTCACCTCTCCCAACACTTTCCTGCTAACCCTTTGAATCTAAGGGCACACCTCTTTTTACTTACAGGATTTGTGGCCACCAAGGCCTGGTTGTTGGCCACTGCAGTGAGATTAATGATTGTTACAACAGAGTTACAAACGAAGGAGAAGAACAGATTTTTGTGCAAAGTAATCCTTTGGCAACTTAGACTCCTAAGAGGCAAGAGAAAATGAAGTGTGATGACATCATGACATGTTTCCACATTTTTATTAAAAATCATTCAAATAAGATACAGTCACAATTCATAGCAGCTGCTCTAAATTTGGAAGAGTTATTTTTTCTCCCCAAGATATACTCATGATAAAATCTTAATTAGGGAAAATCTGTAATTTCTTAAAACAGAGATAAATGAATTGCTTTAGTACAGATAGACATAGGTAGGGATAGAAAATTTGTATGTACCTGGCCTCTACATAAATTTCTGTTAATTTCTTAATATGATTAATATTTTAATTCATCCTGAAAATGCAGAAACTGAGACTCAGTTAAGTTAGATAATTGATTTAAAAAAATCATACAGCTAATTAACTGAAAACTTTGGATTTGTCTGTCAGATTCCCAGATGATGCTCTTTTCATAATACCACACAGGTTGTTCTGTTTATATAGCCTGTTTTTGATTGTTCTGTTTATATAGTGTCTATGTGGTGGTGGTAATTATGCAGACCAACCATCAGAAAGATAACATTGTATTTAGAATAGATGAATTGCTAAAAATTATAGACTTAGCAACCAATGAGGTTTGTTCAGCTTTACTGAATTTTTCTAATTGGCCTAGCCAGAGGTAAGATTTAAGAAAATTATCACCTTTTACTGAAGGTCCTCATGTATAAAATAAAATAAAAGAACTGGCTGTATGGAATTCATACAGAAAGAGATTTCAGGAAAAGGGGTCATTAAGAACAAGTAATCCTCCTTTTCAGATTGAATCTACATCCATTCTACAAGATTGTACATATGCGACTGCCTTACTTATGCTTGAAGACCAACTTACGTACTGCCTCCTTCATGAAGCATTTATTCGAAAGTTTATTATGGGTGAAGTTTTAAAATAATAGAAAGCAATCCATTTGAGACTAGATACTTAATATCAGAGCAAACATATATGTAAGAAGACATGGGAATCATTTCATCACAGAGATTTAAAAGCTTATTTTGTTTTTACAACTTTATGTAATTAATATGGTCACCATAGATAATTCACCCTATAAAAGTCAAACCACTGACTTCTACTTTGGAAACTTTCAGGAAATTTTAACCTAATTTTATCACTGCATCACCTTATCCCAAATAGCCTACGAACTCAGGATATTGTAATTAGGCCGGGATGCCAAGGATTTTTATATTTAAAAATGCAAAGTTTAGGCTATATTGTCTGAAATTTCTTTCAGCTATAAATCTGTGATTCTATATATAGCTCTAGTGTTTTAAAGGATCTGGAAATGAATTCAGTACAAATCAGTACTTATGGATTTTAATACATGCCTTCCACAGAAGTGGGTACTATCAGGGGAGATTTCTATGAAAGGCTTCATAAACCAGATGGCTCTTGAATCGATCACTGCGTGTACGACAGTCATATACTGACAAGTCTATGAAGTCCAGCTGGAGTCCATCAAAATAGTAACAGCAAAGAACTACTAGTATTTTTATATTAGAGAGCCTTTAATTTGACTAGACTTTGCAGTACATGAGAGTAGTGAGAGAGAGGTAGGGATCAAGCCACAGAGTATAGATGATATTATATAGAAAAGAAGGAATCTTTGAAAGCCTTTAAACAAAGGAATACCATGATTCCTTTTATTATTTAAGGAAATTCAACACTGAGGCAAAAATGGCTCTATTTTCAATAAAATGCCACAACAATGACACAGGTACTTTGTGTTCACTGAGTGAAGAAAATTAATGAATATGAGATGAGGTCTAGTAAAGAAGATTCTTTTCAAATCATTTACATTATGCGTTATTTATTTCTTATAATTTATCACTCATCTATAATGAACATTATGAACATAAAAAAATTGTCCACATGATTTAATTTTTAAATGCCTGCTTTGAGCTTATCCTGTGTCTATGGAGTATAACTATCATTTAGGGAAAAACTGCTTATCCTTGCAAATATGTACTTTTTTAGTAAAAGAATTTAAATAACCATCATGGGGGAAAAACAAAATGTTTTCCTTAACTGGGCTACTTTGTCCTTTTCTGATGAACACATTTATTTTGAGGTCTGTTAGTTACATACATGTATGTATATCTGTGTATCTGCATGTGTACGTATGTATATATATATATATACATACATATATATTTAAATATATATACTCAATAAAATTTCATAGTTTTCAAATTATGACCAAAAGAGGAAGGATTTGCTTAAACAGCAAATCAGAAATATTTGTAAAGAGTAAACTGGAATGTAGGAAAACAAACCTTAAAGAAGGCTTTCAAAAAAAGTAATTCATGATAGAAGAGCTGCAAGATGAGCTGAAGAACATAAAACAAACAGCATTTATAATTGTTGATATAATACTGACATGTGAAAATTGAAAATAAGTAAAATAAAATGCTTCCTGTAGTTAGTAGAAAAATAATTTTTAATTTTCTTGTGTACACTCAAACTCCCTTCTCTTCTCTTTGAAGGTTTATATTTCTATTCCTTTCAGAATTCCCTCTATTCTGATGACTCTGCTCCTCTACTTCAGTCTGGCTTGAAAGTTAAAGACTTAAAAATGAGCTACTGATATGTTCTCTTCTAAAGATATGATTATTGTGAGTACAGTCACACACACAAAATATGACTTCTAATTCTCCTGCTATGTGATTAAAAGATATACTGCATTTCCCTCAGTTAGATATAAATAATGCCATATCATGGGCAAAATTTTGAAATGATAGAATAAAACCCTATCATAAATGAAATATTGACTATCAAAACCAAACAAATACTTAAGAGCTCACATAAAATCATTTCAGTACAGAGACATAAAGCATATTTTGATTGTTTTGCAAAATTATCAAAATAACATGGTCAACCTAAGTAATTTGCCCTGTGTAACTCAAACTAAATACTGCTGCTTTGGAAACCCTGATATTCAGGTTAGCTGTCCATATTGTTGTAATAAAGTAGACCATTGGCAAATCATTTAACTTTGTGTTGTGTAAATATGTCCTACTATCTACAAAATTAGCCTGTTGCTATTGCTTTAGTTTCTTCCATTTCTCCCTCCAGGTTCTGTGCAACTTAAATGCAGACAGATCTCTTTGACATATGCTTTCTATCAACGTGTAGTAGTAAAAATGGCTCAGGTTTTTCTAGTGATGCACGTTATTTTCTTCTAAACATATTCATTGACACATATAAGTACATTAGTACAAATAAAATCAACTTGTAAATGAAAACCAAAACACATGGAAAACACACTGAAATAAAACCCTAAAAATATTTGAGTATTTTTCAAATGTTAACCTACAATCAATTTTACCTGCTTTAAAATTTTAAATGTGCTTATTTTACTTAAAACATTTTTTAAATTGTTTATAGGTTTAAAGGATGTTTTACAAAAGAACTCTTCTTTCTTTAAATGTTATAATCCCTTTCGATCCTAACAGAACCACAGAATAGAAAATGTGGTTAGTGGGTCTGGATAGTTTCCATTTCATATTCTCTCTATATAATTATTTGTGAACATTATTTCAATATGTAATTTTGACAAGCAGAATTATAGAGGCAGTTGGTGTAAATGTGTCAACAGAACCATTACACGTCATGCATAATGTAACTATGTCTTTTGATTCTACTTTGAAGCAAATAGAAGTTAATACCAATCAGTACATGTAGCTCAGAGTGGGTTTTGAAACCTGACTTGAAAGTGAATCTGGACTGTGCCACCTACAAACAGTATGACTTTGGGTAAGTTATTTAAAAACTCTAATCTTCACTTTTCTCACCTATAGTATAGGGAGAACAATATTACTTCACAGGTTTGGCTGTAAGGTTAAATGAGATAAATCATATCTAGTGCATAGTATAATATCTAACACATAGTAAACACTCAGTTAACTATTATTTTTTAACATAATTATCATGTGGCTGATTTTAATTAAGTTCTCTAATAGTTTATTCTCACAAATAATAAAATAGCATGAGTTCACTTCAGTGATATAAAACTGCCCGTGTTTTAAGTAATGCAATGGAACAGTAAATTGTCATCTTTTGTTATAAAACACAAGAATTTAATATTAGAAAGACTGTTTCCATGTTATGAAGGGTAATAGATTAAGTAACTTAAATTAACTTCCCAAGGAATTTCATCCTTCCCAGAGTTGTCTCCAAATTACCTCTTCTATTATCTTTATGACCTCAAGTATTATGCTGTTCCATATTCAAAGTTCTGCCATAGTATGGATAAAATACTTGCCTTTGTTTCCCATTAGATTTGACATGAGTAGTATGGCTATCTTTTGTCTACTGGATGGAATCTTGAGTTGATGGGATCACCTGGTTATTTATGATACAAAGTAGAAATAACCTATATCAATAGTTCTCTTTCGAAGGCTGCTAGTGATCCATTTGGCCAGATTAGAAAGAGTACAAGTGTTTAAACCAAGATACACAATCAAATTCTCTCTGGAGAGGAAATGATTGTTCTTGTTCCATCATGCTCCTTCCTCCCCTGTTTCTGCCTTTCAGGGCTGCTCATTTAATATAGCAGAAAAGTATGGGTTGCATAAGGAACAGACATGCTCATTTTGGGTGGCCAACTGGTTTTCTCTCGTGTGTGAACTTCCCTAGTACAAATCTCTCATCTCCTAACAGGCAGGAAACCAAGAAAAGAAACAGTCAGGCTTTTTGAATGCTTGGATTCTTGCAGTCCAAAAATACCCTTTTACAGATAAAATTCATAATAATAGCAGCCACTATTTATTGAGTCCTTAGAATATCCTAGGCACAGAGATAAGACTTTATGTTCATTATCTCATTTAACAACACCTTTGAAGTACTGTTATCCTTTAATAAAATTGAGGCGGATTTCTCAAGGTCAGAATCTTATTAAGTCATCTACTCAATTTGATTGTTGAAGTTTTTAAGAAAGTAATAAGACTTTTGTATCTTATAATATTCATTTAGTTGCTTGTAACTATTTATTGAT